AGGAGGGAGAGATGTCGGTCAACCTGCAAAATAATATGAGAACACAAAAAAGGGTTATCCCTATGCTTCGCATTATTCCTTTCTGTCCAGGTGGCCCAAAGGATCAGACAAGGAATAAGGAACCTCACATGTCTAATGTGTGTGCGGTGTCTGAAAAAACTCAGGAGCTCAAAGAAAGTATCTGTGGAGGGTAGGGGATATGAGTATAACTGGTATAATGCTCCCACACTCTCCTCACAGTCTCGCTCCCTGAAAAAAGATGGGTAAAGGTCTTCGTCTGAAAATTGCCGGTCTCAGCACAACAGTAGCAATACGAGACTGTTAATATATCTCGTATGCGTGCAATTTATTTGTTCGGATGTTTCAAAGTTGCTAATAAAAAAATTAGTATGGTATATTTGATTACTTTGAGGAGAAATCGGCTTGGGATAAATTTCTCTATTCTATATTTACCAAGGTTGTGAAAACCGGACCGGATCGGCCGGTTCGACCTATTGAACCTAGAACCAGCCAGTACACCGGTTCGGTTTGAGGCATGGAACCGCTAGATACCAAAACCGGTCAACCACCGTTTGAACTGGTAAAAAATCGATAAAACCGGTTGCAGTCGGTGCGGCCCTATGGTGCGCTTTGAACTTGGCAGGTACAACAATCATATAAATAGCTGAGATTTTTTGTTTGCGGTTCCGATGTGGGAGCTCACAAGTCACAAGTAAAGAAGAGGTTTAGGCCGGTATTGTGCCTTAGTTGCAATTGTAAATTCCTACAATTAATGCCTCTTGTTTGTAATGTTTGTAAACCATCTTTTTTTTAGGTCGTATGGTTGAAACGATTGTTAGCTTAATTCTTCTATTAACGCTTGAAATTATTGGGCCTTTTGCCTTATTGAGCTTTACTTCGAAAGTAAATTAAGCCTTCAAAAGTTCTTAAAGAATATTTGTCATGCCCAAAACCACCAAAAAATCTTTTTTCAAAAAAAGAAAAAAGAAAAATAATATATATTAATTATAAACCTACACTTAGAATCAAGCATGTTAGCTAAAATAGTTATAATATGCACTATTATTTATATATTTTTTTCCTTTATATATTTAAAAATATGTTATTATATACTAAAAAATTAATGATAAAAATATATAAAATTATATATTATACATACAAAAAGTAAATAGAAATTATATATTAATTAAAACGGTTCAACCGGTTCGACCAGTGAACTATTGAACCGGTAGCTTCCACGGCTCGATGACCGATTTGGTTTAGACAACCTTGATATTTACTTAACTTGATTGAGGCTCGTTGGATTGAATTAGGTCCAATACTGAATCCAACATAATCCCTCATTTGCGGTGTAAAGTCATCCAGGTCATGGGTGTGATATGAAAATACAAGATTCTCCATCTTTTTATAAAATCTTCTTCCCAATCCTTGAGCTCATAGAATCATAGAACCGCCAGACCCTTCCCAATCCCGCATTTGCAGATTATTACGAAAGGCACGGACAAGAACAATTGGAGAATGATTGGAGGGAAGAGGGTATGTGGTAGTGAATTGTATTTATGGCATATGATTATACTGTTAGATATGGAAGTATCGAAAGGGGTTGAGGACAAATAAGTAAAAGCATATTGTATCATTGGTTTTTATCTTAATCTATATATATATATATATATATATATATATATATATATATATATATATATATATATATGTATATAGGGTCACGCTCCGGTGAGAATGACTCTTAATGCGAGAAATAGAAATAAATTTTAGCCATTGGATTGGTTGATCCAACAACTAAAAAAATTCCTATATTTTAAACTCATTAAGGGCAATATAGGATTTTTAACCCAACAAACTGTAGGGCCCACCTCATCTAATCAATTCAAATCTACCCACTCTTTCTCTCTCCCACACAGCACACATACTACACACGGGTCCCAAGCTTCTCTCTCTCACAATTAACACATCTACCCTGCACACGCACACACACTACACACACATATACATACACAGATACACACAGGAAGAATTGAGAAACACACACACGCCGCCATTCAACGCCTCCCGCCACCGTCTTCCGCCGGCCACGACCGCAATCACGGCAGCGCCTCCACTGTTTCCCCGCCGGTAGGCCTCCCGTCGTCGCCCCGACTATCGCCGCCACACGTCCACAAGTAAATCCGCTGCCGGAGGCGGTGGAGCTCCGGATCGCCGCCGTTTAAGTCGTTGTCTCCTACATCATCCTCCACCGCCAAACTCGGTCACACACCAGCAACCGGCTGCCATCATCTTCATAATTCTTACACCACCTAGTCGAGTCAAATGTAGTGGCGCTGGAAAAATCGACCGTCGAGCTTCAATGGCGGATCTTGTAAGAAAATAAAAATCAGGGGACGTCGCCGGAAAGCGGCCGATTCTGCCGACTTACAGGTCGGACGTTAATGACCACTGAAATCGGCGACGCCGACCATCACCGGACGGAGAAGGCTGACGGCGGGGGTGAATGGAAGAGAAATACAAACGTGAGGGGATGGGGAATCTTTTTGAGAATTAGAAATGTTGAATGACTTGATTGCAATTTTATGAATTTTAAATTTATTTCAATTTAATACCATGGGTCAGATTTGTAAATACTGAAATTTAATAAAAAAAACTATTTCTTTACCTATTGTTATGCACAAATTAATTAATAAATAAAATATTAAATAAAGTAATATAAAAATATCATAATAATATAAAAATAATATATAATAATAAATAAATTATATGATAAAACTAATAAATAAAAAAATATTTTATTTATTTAGCTTAATTCGATGTACAATTATATATATTAAAAAAAATTCGAATACACGTAATTTATATAGAAAGGTATAAATCATTGCACTTTGTATAACAGAATGTTGCACTTTATAAAATAACACGTTGCACTTTATAACCACACTCCACAATTAATGTCAACAACTTCTGCCAAAAGATTACGCAATATAAATATAAAGAACGGAGTGGCATAATACTCTAATATCCATCACATCATATATCTAAAAAAAAAGGCAATCCTATTAAAATACCATAATTTCAGTATTGCACTTTATATATCAATACATTGCACTTTATACAGCAATATGTTGCACCTTATAACACAACACGTTCCACATACTAAAATTACATTAATTCTAATGATCGATCGAATAATATTAGTTGGTTAATGTCATATTTAGTTATTGTTAAATAAACAAAATAATGGAACATGTCGAACTATATGAAAAATATTACCGATTTCATTTTATTTATTTATACTTTTTTATTATAAATGATACTATTTTTTATCTATATTTTTTATGTATTGAGAGTGCGTTAGTGTTATACGAATTGCACGTAAATGTCTATCAGATTGCACAAAATCGAACGATATCCGACGAACAGAAATTCAGTACGAATATTTATATTTTGGTTCTATTATCATCATCATTATTATTATTATTATTATTATCATTTTTTCATTTAAATAAACAAAATAAAAACCAAACTATATTAAAAAAAAATATTATTTTCTATATTTTTTATACAATAACTACCACAATTGATAAGATTAAAAATTTCGATTCGAAATTTTATATTCTTAACAACTATCTAGTTTTACTTAAAATTTTAAAATACTAACTACAATATTATAAATATACATATTAAGTTAATCCAATTGTTGCGGTTAAATCGAATAACTGACTGAATAAATTGATCATTTATGTTCGATTTTAATTTGGATTGTGATAAAAAATACCATCGGTATGATTAATACTTACTATCCATCATATCATATATCCACAAAAAACAAAAGGCAATCATGATAAAATACCATAATTCTAGTATTGCACTTTATATATAAATACATTGCACTTTATACAACAATATGTTGCACCTTATAACACACCACGTTCCACATACTAAAATTACAGTAATTCTAACGATCAATCGAGTAATATTAGTTGGTTAATGTCGTATTTAGTTATTGTTAAATAAACAAAATAACCCAACATGTCGAACTGTATGAAAAATATTACCGATTTTTTTATTATTTTTTTTATTATAAATAATAATATTTTTATTTATATTTTTTATGAATTGCGAGTGCACATTAGGGTTATACGGATTGCATATAAATGCTTATCAGATTGTAGGGCTAAGCCTTAGCTGTGGGAAGTACTTTTCCGGGGCTCGCAAGGAAAGAAGAGCGACCGCAGTACTAATCGTTGGGTACCATTATTTATGATAAAATCGAGCAATATCCAACGAACATAAATACACGATGTTGTGCAAATTATGTATCGTTGTTGTGCATTGCATCTGACATGATTATGTCATTATTAAATTTTTAATAAACTACATATTTAATCCATCAATTAAAATTAACTATAATAAATTTTCTAAAATTTAATATGAATATCCATACACATGTTATATAATTTTTTTTAACAATATACTATAATTATTAGATTTGTAATAAAATTGACATTTAAACCATTAATTAAATTACAAATAAATAAAGTTTTTTCAAAATTACATATTTCTACCTAGAAATTACCTAATTTGCACTAAATCACCCCTAACCTAATCCTAATGTCATCCTTCTCATCTCTTCCTAAAATCACTATTCTTTTACTCCCCCAAATCACATATCCATATGGTCTTCACATTTCCCTCGATTGAAAACAAGGCTCAACAACTTCCATAAATCTCGAATGTCAGTCATCTGCAGAAACCGCCCCGCATCATCCCACCACAATCGGCGCAAATCAGATCCTCCCTGCCAGATGCTCTCAGATCTGATACAAACAGGGCTTCGAGCGATGTGTTTGACGGAGGAGCCGAAATTCGGTGATAGAAACTTGCACCCGGCTGTAGACGGCGAAGTGGATGTGACTTTGACGGCCAGATCGCGGCGATGGTCGAGCCGGCGGGGGTGGAGCCGTGGCAGGTTGGGTTGGGGGCGACAGCACCGACGGCTGCGGTTTGGTGGCGGCGGACGGAACCCAAGGCTGCCGATGGTGCTGTCCGACGGCGTCTGGGTTGTGTGTGTGTCTGTGGCAGATGCGCGACGGACCAACGGCCGGTCTGAGATGGCGGAGGCGTGACGGACCAACGGCAGGACTAAGATGGCGGAGGCGCGGCGGACGAACGGCGAGTGCACGGCAGCGGACTTGTGGAAGTATACAGCGGCACGGCGGACGAACTGCGTCCTGAGATGGCGGTGGCGCGGCGGACGAACGGCGGGCCTGAGATGGTGGAGACGCTGTGGACGAACNGTTGATATTAATTATTAATGTGTAGTGGTGGGTCCCACAATGTTGTTGGGTTTAAATTAAATGTCCAAATTACCCTTAATTATTGGTCAAGTACATATATTTGACCACAATATGATCAAAATTACCAGTTTGCCATTAATGATTGACCATAGTTTGACTTCATCATAACCATTGATCTGCTTGATCTCATGGTCTAAGCTTATTCTCATTTCTCGCATTAAGAGTCATTCTCATATAATCCTTTCTCTCTCTCTCTCTCTCTCTCTATATATATATATATATATATATATATATTCTAAAACGATAGGAAATCTCATAACAAGAAAAGCAATTACAATGTTTATTACAAATCATACTTATGCAACTAAATTCTGAAAAAGGAAAAATCCGAAGGCTTCAAAGCCAGGGAGAACCACACTAACACCCACGCGGCCTAGAAATAACAAAACAAAACACAATCTTACAAAAGGCAGACAACTATGTCTAGTAACCTTTAGTAAGCTAAACAAAGAAAATCATCTCCATCACAAGTCAGACTATGACACACAACAGCCCTTTGCCACTGTACTGAGATCAGACCTAGCAAATGCCTCTGTAGCTGTCAATGGATTTCCTGCCGAGCTCCACAAAGTCTGCCAATCTGGGACTGCAGCCCGCATAATGCTCCTCTCAGACCTCCATATACCTTCAAACTTCTACAAATTCCGAGACTTACAGAGCCACCATGAAATGTAAATTGTGAGCTGAATTCGTGCCTCTGAAATCTTGGCCTTATCCACTGAACAGATGCAACCCCACCATTCCCTAAACCTGCAACTATCTGCTGGCACACCATCCCAACTCAATGGAGCATGTTTCCAGACTCGTTTTGCTCTTCTATATCTCAGAAACACATGTTCTATAGTCTCGACTTCCTCTCCACAGCTATTACACATCACATCCACCAGAATGCCTCTTTTCCTGATATTTTTATATGAGGCCACTCATATAAAAATAGTATTTTGTACATAGATTTTTCTTTGTAAATCTTGCATAAAATATTGATGAATGCAACCTCGAAAGGTCCAATTGTTTGTGCAAAAGCTGTGGAAAGATTAGTCAATTCACGTGCTGATGTACAGTGACCTGCGTTTGAAAATAAACATGTGGGCTAGTGATAGAATTAGACAATTTTGCAAGGTGAGATTGTAATGTCCAGATCAAATTAGAATTTTGTTATTTGCAATTGATAATTTTATTTTTTTTAAATGATAGATTTTATAGATAAAAAAGAAACACAAATACAACTAGACAATTAGAATAAGTCAAACAATTATCTAGCTAAATTTAGCAAGAGACTACCCGACGACTAGACATGGCCAAAACTCGGGCCCGGCCTGGCGGGCGGACGGGCTGGGTTGGACGGACCTCGAACAGGCACGGCCTAGGTCCGTGTCGTGTCTGGCCCGTTCAACTAAAAAAAAAAAGAAAAAATATGAAAACCGTTGGTTTTTTCTGTGTCGGACCGGACCCGGTCCGACTCGCCGGGTCAGGATCGAAAAAATAGGACCCTAGATCGGCCCGGTTGCAATTCGAGCCGGGCCCGAACCCGTGGTCAACGGGTTTTACCGGGCCGGGTCTGGGCCGACGGGCCGGTTGACCCGTTGCTATGTCTACTGACGACGACAACCTAGAGGCAGTACTCTAACGCACCCATAAGAACACACAGACTAAACAAAGTAAACCTCCCAAAAAGGGAGAATCTAGTCCCTATGAGAGGAGAACTAGCAACAAAACAAGAAAAACAAGCACAACAACGCAAAACTACAACCAAACAACAACAACATCATCACTACATATAAATAAATAGAATAACACCCTCTTATCCACAGTAGAATCAAACCGCAACACCCCACGACTGACAATCGCCCAAACAAATATGACTCCGGCTCGAGCATTGTTCCACAAACTCCAATGTAGCCACGGCTAGATGAAACTGCGCAAGACGACCAAAATCTTCTCCCAGACGGATCGCCCCTGGAGCTGAAACTAGAGGTCGACCACCTACACCCCTCCCACCGACTAAACCCTCCAATTCGACCAACCAATCACCCAACAACCAATAACCCTCAATTCATCAACCAATCACTTACCACCTTTAGCCCACGGCTAATCAACCGTCCAGGAGGGACCATCAAAGCAAGAAGAAGGCAAAAGAAAGGGAGAGTGAGCCATACCTCAGCCCTGGCCAGCTCCAAGGAGGCTGGTCGAAACCCGCAGTACGCCACCGATCAGAACCTTGGGTACCCCATACCGCAGCAGAGGCGCCTTGAAAGATTGGCGAGACGTGCATCCGGTGGAGATCTGTGGATCCAAAGAGGAGCGAACGGTGCAGACAACACCGGGCGGCACGACAAGCTCAGCGAAGAGGATGCAGCTGCGGAGCATGGCAAAGACCTAAGCGAGATAATTTGGAGGGAAAAGGGTGATGTATGAGATTCTCAATTGAGAATTTAATTTTAATAAGAATAAAGTGTACGTGCGCAATCCATGTATTTTTATATTTTTTTTATTGTTTTTTTGCTAATTCATGACATCAAATTTTAACTCGGAGAAATCAAATAATGGATGCGTGCATGTCATCTTTATGGTCTTTTACAAAGATGAGAATGAAAACTCAAATCTTACCACAACAAAAGTTGTTATAATGCAAGCTAAGCATAGATGACTTGATTTATAATATTTGATTAAGTTAATTTTATTTAAGTGAAGACATTCGATTACGACAATGTCATATTTCTTAAAATTTGAATATTTTCCAATTAAATGTTCATACAATAAAGGGACATCTTCTCTGCCCCTATATTCATTCAGTGAAGAATCATCAGCGTCACTCTTGTTACCTTTTTACATTATAAAATAATTGGTTTAGTTATATGAAACAACACGAACAATCACTGAAATTACAAAAATAAAATTGCTAGTTTAATTACCTCATCATCACTCAACCTCACCAACAACAATTTTTTTTCTTTCTTCCGTCTCTTCGGACGGGATGACAGAGGGGTCATAAAATCAGTCTGCTTCATTTTTTTCTTCCTGCCTACCCTCTCGCGCACCCTCTTCACCATTGAAGACGGTTGTTGTTTCTCCTCTGGTTGTCGGCGAGAGCTCTGAGCACTGTGCTCAGAGTTGGATCATCCAACAACCCTTTTGAATCCACCTCTCCCATCAAACCAGCAGATTTCTCCCTCAAACCAGCAGACTCGACTACCAGGTCTACGAGTCGGTCCAAATCTTTTAACTCATTCACAACAGCTACTTTCTCAACCACCATCAGAGCCCATCCTTCCTCATTTTTTTTTATTCGTCCTCTTTTTCCTCCTCCTCTTTATCCTCCTCTCCCTCTTTTTCGTCCTTTTATTCTCCTCTTTTTCCTCATATTTTTCCTCAGTCTGACAAAAACCATCAGCAGCCTCATCTTTATCACTTCTTTTCTGTTTTTCTTTTTCTTCATTCTTTTTTTCTCTCCACTCGGACTCCAACAATTGAATTCTTTCTCTAAGTTCATCATTCTCAAGACAAATTATGGTAAACAACCGGTTCTCAAACGGTCCCTGTACATGAAAAAATAAAATTAAAGGAAAACATAAATTAAAGATACTTGTACCTATGAAAATATATTAATGCTAAACATCAATTATCGAAAAAAATTAAAGGAAAACCTGAGTTTCCAAAAATGTACGCTCCTCCAAAACAGGCGATACCGAATACACCTGGAAAGCAAATCGTAATGATTTAGGTACAATATCGATTAACCAAAAATTAAAAGAAGAAGAAGAAAACACATAATGCTATAAATTATATAAATTACCTTATGCCTCATTATTTTCTTCAGAGATTGTAAAGACCCTTCCAATGTAGACGGCAACGTGCTCCCCGAAATAGATGGGAATCGCCTCGAGCGTCGAACGCTTGCCCAAAGAAGGGACACGCTCATAGAACCAAGCCTACTCATACACATGATTTCAAAATTACACAATTTGATAGTTTATTATTATTGTATTAATACATTGAAAACAATATATACATACCATCAATCCCACTGCATATCCATCGAACTATGATCTGTCGCTCGATTGGGTATGGCGAACTAGCTCGCCGACCAAGAATTTTTGAGTAGCATCTCCCCATGCGTACTCACAAATTCGACTGACATCCTCCACGTACGAATAAACAAACCTTGGAATTGAATAGCTTGAACAAGGGAACAAAATACAGCTAAACATAAGCAAAGTATACATCCAGATGAAGTCGTCAACACGACCTTCATCCGCAGCATACTTACCTAACAACTCTACGATATTTTTTTCTTTTCAACAACTTTTTATCTACTCGACCCCAGTAGTTGAACAAGGCTTTCGACTCTAAAATAAGGTCTAAGTCTACGCTTAGACCGTTTAGCCTCATTGTCATACAAAACTCAGTTGGGTCAAAATTTAAAATCAAATTATCACCAACAACAAAAGCATTCAGGTCTTCCCTGGATGTGCTAACTAGTGCCTCAACTCTACTATGCAAAATGGCTAAATCAGGCATATTCACAAAAAAATAAAATGGACTTTGAAAAGAGCCTGCTTGTGCTTGTCAGAGAGCACAACAACTGTCATGTCCATCACATCTTTAAAGTATGAAGGGGCACATCTACATCTTAGTTTGGTGCCCTATCACAAATAAATAAAACAAAGAGAATTTTCTAACATAAGAAACATATACAAACAACAATAGCTCAGCCCATTTCAATAATAACACCTCATTCATGGCATATTCATACAAATGCCCTAATTGATATAAAACAGCAACAGCAATTGCCAACTTCATTTCCTCAGACCATTTTAACAATATAGAACCAAACAGCAGCACCAAAAAAGCAATTGTGAGTCAAATTCAACAGCTAATTGATACAAAACAATAATAATAGTAGCAACAATTGCCCACTCCATTTCCTCAGGCCATTTCAATAATAAAGAACCAAACAGCAACACCAAACAAGTAATTGCGAGTAAAATTCAACAACTATTTGATATAAAACAATAACAACAGCAGCAACAACTGCCCACTCCATTTCCTCAAGCCATTTCAACAATAAAGAACCAAACAGTAGCACCAAACAAGTAATTTCAAGTCAAATTCGTATTAAACAATAACAATAGCAGCAACAATTTCCCTAATTGATATAAAACATTTTCGTTTCGCAAAAAAACCAAATTTATCAATAAAATCATACCAAAATAAAAATAAAAAAATTGGAATTTAAAAAATTTGCCATACCAAAATTAAAACACCAAATTCATTTCACAAAGCCCTAATTAATAAAGAACCGTAATTCAAAAGCATACCAAAATAAAAAAATTATGAACCCTAAACATGCAAAGAGCCCTAATTTATCAATAAAATCCCAAATTCGAAGTGCATTAGCATCAACCAAATCCCAAATTTTGAAAAATTTCGAATTCAAGAAAAAAATCAAAATTTTGAAAAAAAAATTCCCAAAATTTCGAGTTGAATAGAATCAAATATTTTGTTAAAAAATCTCACCATGCTTACGTCTTTGGACGAGGAAGACGGTTTGTCGGATGTATATTTCTTTTTCGACCCCGCCATTGTTGGTTGTAGATTTTTTTGGCCGGAGACAGAGGGCAAGCTTCCCGGAGATATGGTCGGCGACGGGAGGGAAAATCGCGTTCACGGATGGGCGATGCACGAAGAGAGAGAGAGAGAGAGAGAGAGAGAGAGAGAAAGAGAGATGATCAGCGATAAACGAAGAGAGATAGAGAGAGATGATCGACGATGCACAAAGAGAGAGAGAGAGAGAGAGATGATCGGCAGAGATGATGCGAAGAGAGAAAGAGAGGAAAGAGACTAATTTTATTATCATGTAAAATAAATGAATAATAATAGTATTAGTATTTATATGGGGAGTTGAGAGAAACGAGACAAATATATTAAGGAGTGCAGAGTCAAAAAATTAAGCTATGGAATGAGCAGGAAATTGATTATAGTAGTAGAGATTTATCTTGCAGGAAATTGATTATAGTAGTAGAGATTTATCTTGCATTTACCGATTATTTTAGGAATTATCCCCTCTGGCCTCGTTTACTTCGCTTGATAGGACAAGATAAGGAAAACATCAGACGTTTACATCAAGGGATTAAGACAGGATAGAACTGACGTGGAGTACATGTGGATGTGGGGCCCACACGCATATCCTTTATTAGTCGATTAATTTTGTCCGGCCTTGACCCCAGGATTTTTTAATCCTGTCCTGTTCATGACATATTTGCCCTCAAAAGTGCCTGAGAAAGGACGTAAATACCCCTCAACTTCCTTTTAATTGCAATAAAATACCACATAAATGTTAAAGTCACTTTTTCACATCTCCCCAATTTTGGAATCGAAATTGCAGAGTATTGGAGCTCCTCCCTCACATTCTGGGCCAAGGTAAGCTCGAATCTCTTTCTTTTTTTTTTTATTTGATAATGCAAACAGGAATTCGGCTTTGGCATTGAATAGTGATTCGATCTTAATTTATCCGTCGTTCGACCTTCGTATCGGAATTGTCCCTTTCGGACAAGATTTCCCCCGTTCATCCACGCCTGGAAACCTCGGTGGACCTCGTCATCGCAAATGAAAGAAGGGCTCGACGGAATTTTGGAAAGAGGGGCTCGGACCTCGTCGTCCACGCCTGGTTTGGGTTTATTAGGGTTCGGGCTCGACGGAATTTTGGAAAGAGGGGCAAATGAATTGTTCTTGATAAATGTGGACTGACTTTTGGATAGCATCGACACATTTTTACGTGGCTGGAATGCCAATTGATTTTGATGTTCAAAGTGTTGAGTTGATGAAATTCAATAAGAAATCTGGATGAAATTTTTCACGATTTCGTGAGCACCTTACATGGAGAGGACAAGTTTTATGAAATTGAGGATAAATTGGACATTTAATTCTTATCCTATAAATTGGACAAATTTCAGATTTTTTTAATCCCATAATGTAAACATAAGATAAAATGCTGATGTGTAAAGTTGGCTGGATTATTATGCATAAACCCATCCATGAAAGTAAATGAGGCCTCTATATATAATTTCAGAATGCGCTGAGCCTACGTGGCAAATTCTCATGCTTCGGAATCCTATTTGGCAAAAAATCATGCTTTGGGGTTAGACTTGGATATACATTAATATTTGTATTAATTATATTTTAATATCATTTCCTATTATAACCATTGAATTGCAAATATATTTTAAAAGTTGATAACTTTTGTATTTTTTATCGGTTTTACATATATAATATATCAAATTAATCATCTTTTGATGAACTTCGATTTGACATCCATATTGTATATATAAAATAAATAAATTATATTTATCTTTATAATAATAATAAAATTGTTTATTAAAATTAATTAGAAAATAACATTATTTATCAATTAATATATTTATGTTTGATGTAATTATATGTTATAAGGTAGAAAATTTATTATAATATAACATATATGTCTCACAAGTAACATGTGTCATACTAAAATATATAATAATATATACTCCATCCTATTTTTATTATTTGTCACTTTGACTTAATTGATCATTGATAAAATAAATGTCGTTTTAGATATTTTGTTCATATTTTTCTATTTTTAACCCTTCATCTAATACACAGTGTCTCTTCATATCCCATCTCCATCGTTTCCCATAACATCTATTAACTAGGGTTAATATTTTAAAAAAAAAATCTTAATTAGTGTGCTGCATTTGAATTGATATTATGAAGTCCGTTTGTATTTTACTATTTATTATATATATATATATATATATATATCTTTAAAAATAAAATTTAAATTTATTTATCAAACTAAATTAAATTATAAATCAAATGAAACTATAAATTATATTATAAAGTAATAGAAATTGGTATGTATTCTTTTAAAAATGATATTTATTTCAAATTTAATTGGTATGTTGTCAATGTAATAAAATAAATAATTATTTATATAAATTCAAAAATTACATATAAAGTTAAAAAAACTGTGAAGTACGATTGATACGACACTTGATGTATTAGGCATCTATTTAAGTAAAAAAATTAATCTATTTTGCTTAATATTAAATAAACATATTCTACACTTATGCATATACATATCACCATTATTTCTATTTATCTAAGATATATATATTTTTGTACTTATGTAATAGTAAATAATATCGATATTTTTATATGATATTAGTAAAAAAAATTCAACACGGGTTGACATTTTTATTTAACGTACGGGTGTTTAATTATTATGATTAAAAAAATATAATTTGACAATTTAATTAAAACTCAAAGTAATATTTTATATAAAATTAAATTATTTTAGTTTTTAAAATAATAAAAAATTTAATATTTTTTACAAAAGTTTTCTAATTCAACACCCGTATAATACACGGGTATTGTACTAGTTCTTAATAAAACATTTCAACCAAGCTCTCTCATTTATCTTGTTACCTTTCTGGAACTTCACGCGCCACGTAATTGATGATCAAATACATTGATTTTTCTCCTACTGTATTTTGTCTTGTTCTCTGAGCATTTCTAGAACGGGTCCCTCTCAAGCGGAAAAATGAAAAGAAAATTCAAATATTAATTGGACTAAAGCCTAAAAGTAATGGGAACTGCAGTCCTATCAACATCATAAGCGGCAATAAATAGTAGTAGACTCATGCTCGAGGATATCCCATCGCATACAAGATTGAGAGAGAGACCAAAACAGAAAAAATGGAATTTGTACAACAAATGATTGCTGCTGCTTTAATGCTAGTGGTGGTGGTGTACACGCTTAATATTCTATACTGGGCCTACATCAGGCCCAAGAGGCTTCAAGGGCTACTGAGGAAACAGGGTCTTAAGGGGAATCCTTACAGATTTCTCCACGGTGACTTGAGAGAGTTGAAGCTTATGTTGGAGGAAGCCAAGTCAAAACCCATCAGTCTTGATGATGATATCAAGCTAAGAGTCTTCTCCTTTTTTCTCAAAACTATTGACAAGTATGGTATGTATCGATTAATTAACTGCTTTGTTTTGGATCTTTATTTATTTATTTTTTTTCGAAATAATCAGCTAACTTGAATGATGATTTTTATTAGATTGTTATGAGCTGATGAGGTTGCTGAATTTTTTCATGATGAGCATCATTTTGTTTTTCTTTATATCTGCTTGCATTCTTTTTATCTTATATAATTTCTGAAATCTGAAGAATGGAGCTGATAAAAAAAAATTAATAATAATAATAATAATAATAATAATGTTGCTCATTCTTAATCTTTATAAAACTTGTCATCGAGGATCTACAACACTGCTCGTTAATTTGTTGATTACAGGAAATCAATCCTTTTTCTGGTTCGGACCTCGACCGTCAGTTATTTTAACGGATCCCGAACTTATTAAGGAGGTTCTGACCAAGATTAATCTGTATCATAAGCCGAGGAGCTCGAATCCACTAAGCAGGTTACTTTTACAAGGACTTGTGTCCTACGAAGGAGAAAAATGGGCCAAACACAGAAAATTAATCAACCCCGCTTTCCATTTAGAGAAACTGAAGGTGCTCTGTTTCCATGAATTATTTTTTCAATATAGATAAAACAATTTAGTCATGCAGTGGAATAATATTAATATTCTTGTTTTATTTTTCACTATTTGGTTACAGCTCATGATACCGGCCTTCTATTTGAGTTGTGAGGAAGTTTTGCACAAATGGGAGACTATTCTGTCAGCCGCAGAAGAAGGGTCGTGTGAGGTGGATGTTTGGCCGTATCTGCAAAATCTAACTAGTGATGCAATATCACGAACTTCGTTTGGTACTAGCTATGAAAAGGGCAGAAGAATATTCGAACTTCAACGAGAGCAGGCTGAACTCAGCTTGAAGGCTTCGCGGTCCATTTATATTCCAGGATGGAGGTAATAAAAACGTATTCATTTTGTCTTTAGAATGAAAAAGCAAAAGCATAAAGAAAGAAATTGACTTGCCATCATGCTATTTCTAATTGCAATGTGTCTGTCTTGGTCCCATTGTCCAATGTGTAGATTTTTGCCGACAAAAATGAACAAGCGAATGAAAGAAATCGAAAAAGAAGTTCAATTCTTGATACGAGGTCTCATTAACGAAAGGGTCAAGACAATGAAAGCAGGGGAGTCGAGAGGCGAAGACTTGCTTGGCATATTGTTGGAGTCCAATTTCAGGGAAATCGAGCAACACGGGAACAAGAATTTCGGGATGAGCATAGATGAAGTTGTGGAAGAGTGTAAGCTATTCTATTTTGCAGGTCAGGAGACCACCTCAGTGCTTCTCGTGTGGACAATGGTTCTATTGAGCAGATTCCCAGAGTGGCAGACGAAAGCTCGAGAAGAGGTTCTTCAAGCCTTTGGGAATCAAATTCCGGATTACGATGGCTTGAATCACCTCAAAATCGTAACTACTAATTTACTTTATTAGAATTTTGATTTTTTTATAACGACAACTTTTACAAACTAAGTATACGATTATTAATGATCGTAGGTGACCATGATTTTGAACGAGGTCTTGAGGCTATATCCGCCAGTAGTTGCCCTCGGTCGATATGTGACTGAGGAAACCAAGTTGGGGAGATTGACTTTGCCAGCTGGAATTCAGCTCACAATACCGATTATCTTATTACATCACGACCGTGAAATTTGGGGTGACGATGTGATGGAGTTCAAGCCAGAGAGATTTAGCGAAGGGGTGTCCAAGGCACAAAAGGGAGGGCACGGGATTTTCTTCCCTTTCGGGTGGGGCCAAAGGATATGCGTCGGGCAGGCGTTTGCGATGGTCGAGGCGAAAATGGCACTTGCTATGATCCTGCAGCGCTTTTCATTTGAGCTCTCGCCAACCTATGCACATGCTCCGTACTCCATTATAACCACACAGCCTCAGTATGGTGCTCATTTGATCTTACATAGCCTCTAGGTGTGGATCTGTTTGGAGACCTGTGTTGAATAGCATCTTGTTTTTTGATGTTTAACCTTTTGGCTATAATTTCGACCGAGAGTCGTATATGTTGTCCTGCGTCGAAAAATAAATGCACTAGATTTAAGATGATGTTATGCGTTTGTTTGTATACTGAAAGTTTGACTTTGTTATGGACTTGTTTACGCTTTTAATGAGAATTATGTTTAGTCAATCTGTTTGTATTTTCTTTATGATAAATAGTGGTGCGAATTGTTCATATATATTATGTTGTAGATGATATAGTTCTCCGTGTTGTACGGGTAAGTCATATTATCGGTACCTTGTGAAATATAAATGTGGTTTACAACTTAGATAGAATTGAATAAAATATTGTGAATGGCTGTAATATAATTTTAGAATTGATTGATCTTGACTGAAAAATTTAGCTAGTACAGTTAAGAGTGTATGAAAATGATTGTGGAGGATAAGTTCATTTGTACTGATGATATAAATATCATAAGGGCACGCGTGTTCACAGAGCCGGTCTTGGACTTTGTTAGGCCCTGGACAAAATATAAAAAATAGCGTCCTTTTTTTGTTCACAATTATGAAACTTATATAGATCTCAAGTCGCATAATAAGATTTCAGTAAGTGCGTAGAGTTAATCATATAATTTAAGGATGAAGCCTTTCAATGTGTGATTTTGGAAATAATGCATGAGTAGGTCTTTATGAGATAAACTCGATTTTTCTTTATATATAAACTTCCTACCAAACTAAGGTTATTTAAATGCAAGATATTAATAAGAAATTTTAAATGGACCTCATTATAAGTATGACATCATTATTTTACATAAAAATTATATAATTATATGTAAGTAGAATATTTCATTTATTTAAATCCTTATAATATGGTGGAAAGATTTAAGTCTACTATTATTTTATTGCATTTTTATTGAATTACAACTCGTACTATTGTACACTTTATTACCTAGTTGAATGCCTTTTTTATTTGATGAGATGTTAATTGATTCGCATAAATAGTGATTATAACACGTAAGCCCATAAGAAAAAAAGAAAATGGAATAGGATTAAAAATAAAGAGTGAATTGAATTGGACTTGGTTGGTTTCGAATTAAAATTTCAGTAAAGTTTCATAAAATACTTTAATTATTGTTAATGAAGTTCTCTAATATTTGTAAAAAACCATGCAATATTTGTATTATTTTAGTGGCTTTATACAATAAACATTTAGTACATGGAATATGAAATTGAGCTAATTGTATGTATTTGGCCTACAAATTATACATGTTACACATTAAATAATTACCATTAGTGCATGGAATATGAAATTAAGATAATTATATGTATTGGGGCTAAAAACTAAACATGTTACACATTAAATTGGGCCCTTACATAATAGAGGCCCTTTTTTGAATTGGGCCCTTACATATTTGAGCTAATTATATTTATTGAGCCTATAAACTAAACATATTAAAAATTAAACAATTGAGGCTCCTTTTTAAATTGGGCCCTGGGCTGTTGTCCAGGTTGTCCTGGGCCAGGGCCGACCCTGCGTGTTCCGCATGTGCTTATTTGATTTACACAAGGGTAATATTTTAACCATTAAATCAATAGACTCAGTGAATAGGGAAGTGGTGCTAGTTATATGGTGTGGTGTTGGTTATTTGCGGAAATTGTGTTCTGATGATGTACCTAACCGAACTTACAAGGATTGTTATGCTAAAACTTGCAAGTAGAATTTGATTCGATATAATAATAAGGATGAGTGGTAATTAGTTTTAGAAATAAGACGTTAATTAATTAAATTATTAGTAATTAATTAAAGAACATTACTATCTTAAATATGGAGATATAAATTTGATAGTGTATATGCTGAAAGCTTGACTTTTGATGTTATTTACACTATTATGTTGAATGAGAAGAGTACTTGATCAAACAAGTTCTATGTTATGTTGTTTTGCGCTTAGATAAAATGATTCATCACAGATGGATAAAATATCATTGTATCAGTCACTTGCGAAACAAAAATGATTGGTTCACAACCTGTCCCATGAAAAGACGCACTCATCAAATGCCCTTATCATTCTCCGTCCTCATTAAAGAACTCAAGACTATTCATTGGTCCTAACTATTAATTGGTCTTATCCACCCCTGCTGGATACGTCGCTCTTTGACGATAAGAAACGAATGGCCGATGCCAATCTAATTGCTTGCGTGATTATAATTTCTTGCAGTTTTAATTCAATTTGTGTGCTACTAGCATATATCAAGTCCATAAATCACCTATAATATGCTCTTAGTTACTTAAATAAGACAGTTGGCGATCGATCATCAATATATGTTGAATATTTTTATGAACCAAATATGCATTTTGTATAAAGTAAATTTGTGTGCTACTAGCATAAATCAAGTCCATAAATCACCTATAATATGCTCTTAGTTCCTTAAATAAGACAGTTGGCGATCGATCGCCAACATATGTTGAATATTTTTTGTGAACCAAATATGCATTTTGTATGAAGTAAATTTGCATTAGTAAAATGCAGTCGGTATAAACAAAATATGTATATGGAATGAACTAGATATAAATTTTTTATGCACTAAGTGTGCAATAATAATATCAACTAAGTATGCATTGTTTATGAACTAAATATGCATTTCGTATGAACTAAATGTGCTTTCTTATGAACTAAATATGTATGCTAAATATGCATTTTTTTATGAACATTTTCACTAAAAATATGTAGTTGATATAAATTATATATGCAATTGGTACGATCTTTATATGTATTTTTTATGTACTAAATGTGCAACAATAATATCAACTTAGTATGCATTGTTTATGAAATAAATATGCATTTTGTGTGCACGCAGCCCATCCAAGTAGTTGGGCTCAAGAGATCGTGGTTGTTACACCATTTTATCCTTCCATTACTGCCCCTCAGACGAATCATGATTAGGTTTCTGAGAACAAGATTATTTAGGTACACTGCTCTCGCCCTAGGACGTCTAACAGGATTATTTTGGTGGACGCGTCTGTCGCCCGCAGCCCGTCCAGGTAGTTGGGCTCGATGTCAAGATGAGTCACCGTTGGTTGATCTCGAACCCGCCTCCATGGACAAGGACAAAGCGGAGGCCCATGCAAGGGAGGAGGACGAAGTTAGCCCCCACCGAGGCACGGAGAGACTCTGACTTCATGGAGGAGGATGCTGGTTAACTTCATGGAAGAGGATGCTGCTAGTGGTGGTTGATGACTGGGGCCAGCTTGGTGTCTGGTTTCTCGACCGCCGCCTAGGTCGATGATGATGCCATGATTAGACTCCCAATATGATGGTGGTGATCACCGGAGTTGGTCAATCAACGTCTGCTAACGGCAGTAAATGAATTTGTTTACTATATAACAAATTAAAATATTATTATTATTATTTCTTATATAATTAATGTATATTTCAAAATATTAATATGAGATATTGATGTACACAAATCAATTACTTGAATTGGGTCTCATGTACTCTTTTTAAGAAGTATATATATAGATCACATGAGACTTGTGTTATAGCCAAGGTTGTCAAAACCGGACGGGTCATCGAACTGGTGAAGCTACCGGTTCAATGGTTCGCTGGTCAGATCGGTGGTCGAACCGGTCGAACCGGTTTAATTAATATATAAATTTTTATTTATTTATATGTATAATATATTAATGTATATAATTTTATCATTAATTTTATAGCATATAATGACATTTTTCTAAATAAGAGTTCAATAATCAATATTTTGAGTATAGTTTACCATAAGCAATACTAATTTAAGTTAACTAAAACAATAAATTAATAATTTAATGTCTAAAACAAGGCAATCCAAATTACAAATACAAACTCTACAAAGTCATCAAAAATCAAAATACATCCAATTTTCGGGCTTACAAAACTTGAAGATAGTGAAATAAGGGGTTGGGCTGGCACCAAATTCAATTTACGGGCCTGCCAAAGTCCACAATTTTCATCTTTCAATCTCTAAAATTCGTCCAGATTTTTCGAGCAATATAATCTATCGTTTCAGTATGTTTGTTTAGGGCACCTGTTTAGTGTGTTTCTCTATTCACCCAGTTTGGGTTGATTATATGACTTATTAGCAAGGCTACTATGTACATTTTTTCGAGCAATAGAATCTATCGTTTCGTTTAAAAAAAAACNGAACGTCACAATCCCAAATCATCTACCCATATAAAACTCAACAATACAAAAGAAAGAGAGAAATGCAAAATAAAAGTGACGATGTTATTACAGTACAATCCTAATATTGTAGAAGTCTCTCGAGAATCAACTGGGCCCCGTGCTGCGGCTGAAGAGTGATGACGGTCTGAGGCGCGTGCGCGTACGAGTGCGACAGACGGAATGAAAAGCGCTGCAAAATCATAGCCACAGCCAATTTAGCCTCCAGCAATGAGAAATTCTGGCCGGGGCATATCCGTGGGCCCCACCCAAAGGGCAAGTAGGCAATCTGCCCTTGCGTCGCCTTGGCCACTCCCTCCCCAAATCTCTCGGGATTGAATTCCAAGGCATCCTCTCCCCATATTCTGCTGTCATGATGCAGTAGAATCACAGGCAGCATCATTTGAACTCCAGCTGGAAGACTCAGATTTCCAAACTTACTCTCACTCAGAGTCATTCGAGTCAGCATAACTCCCGGTGGATACAGTCTCAGAACCTCGTGAAGTATCATATTTATCTGCAATGCGAAAAACACAGGACCATTTATATTTACAACTAACACAATTTCCTACTTGTTACTCCGAAAATCTCGAAACACTTACAATTTTCAACTGATTTATCTCTTGATAATCGGGTTTTGCTTGACCAAACACATGAAGAACCTCCTCCCTAGCACGAGCCTGCCAGTCCTGGTGCTTGCTCAACAAAATCATAGTCCAAACCAGCAAGTTTGCGGTCGTCTCTTGACCCGCAAAGTAGAAAAGCTTGCACTCCTCAATCACATCTTCCAAGCTCATCCCAAACTTACTCCCGTGCTCCTCCATTTCCTTGAAATTCGACTCCAACAGCAAGTCCAACAAGTCGTCACTGCACTTTTCCCCTGATTTTAAAGCTTTCATCCTCCGGCTCACAATCTCGAGAATCGAAGTTTTCATTTCCTTGGCGAGTTGCTTCATCCTCCGGTTCTTTTTCGTCGGCAGAAATCTATATCACAAGAAATGCAAGGGTTTATGGGTAAATATGCAAAACAAACAAGTTTTTCCATCAAAGCCAAAAAATATTGATTGATTTTTTTTAAGGACAGTTGAATCTCTTT